AATCTGGCCTTGAACATCTCTAGGGATGGGGCATCCACAACCTCTCTGGGCAGCCTGTTCCAGCACCTCACCACTCTCTCTGTAAAGAACCTCCCCCTGACATTCAACCTAAATTCAAACCTAAACACCGTTACAGATCTCAACAGCTGCCCATCTCAGCTCACTTTGTCCACTTGTCACTTCTTGGGAGCACAATGGCAGAGATCTGTTATTCAGTAAAGTCCACTATTTCTGCAGTTAATTTTCTTTCATTCCCCCTTGCCTTAAATGAGAAAGTGGCATACAACCCTAAATGGCAGAAAGCCACATATGTGGCTCTTAAAGTTCAGTCACAGACATGCAATATTTGGAAACAAAAGCAGGAAATTGCTGAAATGCTGTAATACTGAAGTCAAAGGTTTGACGTACAATTACAAAAACAATATCAAGGAGCAAGAAAAAGCAAGAGGGACTGAACCAGGTGTGATCTCATTGTGCTTGCCACAACCATTACTTAAATCTACTGCTCTTTAGTCCTGGTTGAACTTCTACACATGACAATCCCTCCAACTCATGTTGCAAAGGAAGTCTGGCAGAATGAACAAGCAAAGATGATAAGAACTTAGCATGCTAATGAAAGGACCAGATGTTTTGAGTAAATTTCTGCTAGCCTAAAATAATTCTTTCTGCAACTATGGATATGCACTTTGATGTTTGGCCAGTCACCTAAGAGTTTGCTTTCAATAACATTTTTCATGAATAATGAGAGCATCCTCAGGATTTACTTTCCAATTTTTTTCCCCCTTTTAAATGAGAAAGAACACTTCCTTCTCCAAATAAAATTAGGCTGATATAATGCTTTCTGTTAGAAACTCCTATGTCTAGCCATTTCTGTTTATAAGCACGAATACATACCCCATCTGAATTGAAGGGGAAGTTTAAAGAAATTTCAGTTAGACTAAAGCACAGAACTAAGACAAAATATATTTTCCCATTAAAATAATCTTATTTTCACAATCAAATTGTGTCAATCAAAATCACTGCGATACAGAGGAAAACTTCGAAGCATGACGAACCAGACACCTGGCCTTATACCATCTCTCATACCAGTGAAATGCTTTTAATGAAGCTACAAGCTTTTTTAGCAGAAATTTGTTATCTCAACTCCCTGCAGATTCAATCTGCTACGCCCGTGCTTCAGCATCAAGCTGCAAGACCTGATGGTGGTTGCTGCCTCACTGCTGGAGACTCCACAGCCCCAGTACCACACACACCACAGCTTCAGGCTGCCTGAGCTCTCAGTGCTGCTGCTGAAGGGGTTCAAATGCAGAGAGGTAGAGCCATACAGATGCTTCCTAGTGGTGCAGAGAAAACAGAGTTCTCTTGCCCCAAATATGAGAAGCAGAAGTGGAACACAACAGAGGGCAGGTGTAGCAGGAGAGAATGGCAGCTCTGGAAAAGACCATGCTGCTGGTGGGAGGGGACAAGTGAAGTAGTGACTGCTGCAGGCAAGAGTCAGCTCCCTCACTGCACTCCTGATTCCCTCCCATCAACTATAGAAGTTGTCACTCTGCTTCAAAAATGCTGGCATTTAGCAAAGCCTTTATCAGGAGGCTTACTTAATTGCTACTTCTAGGAATCTACTGCCAGAGGGAGCTTTGTTGTTTTCAGCTAGTCAGCCCTCAGAGGAAGTGTGGCTCCAGTCTTGAATAGGTAAAAACTAGGTATCAGTTATTTTTCCACAGGCATATCAGTGCTGAACTGCATGGCAAAACAGAGAAATGCTGAAGGCAAATCATTTGCAAATTGACATGAAAATCATGTAGCACCATCACAGAAAAGCAGCTTCTATTTTCAGTAACAATCAGATGTTTCCACACTGCCTCAAGGAAGCTCTGTTTGAAACTCTCTGGGCACAGAAAGTTCATCAACTAACCACTCCGGTTAGTGGGAGCAGTAGTACAAGTGATGTTCTCCTCTGTCCATAGGGTGGCAGGGAGAGATACCGAGAGGATCGTAAAACTGTCTGATAAATACATGGCTGAAAGGCTGGTTACACTGCAGGAGTTTCGACTTTTTCAACCATGGAGTAGTTTGCTCAGCATCTGGTCTGATGGCTGTGTACACATCTTACCTGTCTCAAAGGGGCAAAGGGATCCTTGCCCAGCAGCTGGCAGGGCTCACTGAGAGGGCTTTGAAGTAGGTATGAAGGGAGAAGAGAAGCTCACTAGAGATGAGCCATGGGGGCTAATGCTGGGGTTGGGGTGGTGAGGCCAGTGGCTCAGCTGAAGTGCATCTACACCAACACTTGCTGTGTGGGCAACAAGCAAGAGGAGATGGGGGCCACTGTGTGGAAGGCAAGCTATGACTTAATTGCCATTACTGAAACATGGTGGGATGACTCCCACAACTGGAGTGCTGCAATGGAGCAGCTTTCCGTTGTACTCCAAGTCAAACTGATGTGAACTAAGAACCCTAAACATATTAACGACCTGCTGCAGACATCTCATGTAGAACTACATGCTACAGGTAAGGCTTGGCCTTCTGATGAACTGCAAACTGCAAACTACAAACTATGGCTTAGCTGAAGGTTTTCCCGGAAATGACGTGTGTTTAACAGAGCTGAGTGAAGATAAGTAAATTAGAACAGACTAAACAGTCCAAAACCATTAAAATATCAACCTCAACCAGCAATTATGACCAGACCTTTTTAATTTATATTTTAAGCCAGATTACAACACATCATACACCTTGCAGAGATTTGTGACTTGGGTTCATTTATGCTTTCCAGTTCTCTACATGGTTTCTCTGGCAAGCATCTCTTGCTTTGAACAGCCTCTCACTAACACCCCATTTTTTATTTCAAAGAGAGACAGGATACAAAGGCCTATCAGTTCAACCCAGACCTAGGTTTGTTAGGGCCAGAATTAGGCAAGCTCTGCTACAAGTGCCCATATTACTAAACACAACTGATTACAAACCTACAAATGGTTACTGGTAAAACTTGGGTTCTGGTTCTTGCAGACAAGGCAAATACATTAAAGTGTTAATGTGCAATGGAAGACAGAATAGATAGGAAAATAAAGCCAGTGATAGAAGAGGAAGCTAGCTAGTGCATATTGCATTCCCAGTCTTGAAAGGCTTACTAGGTTCAGAAAGAGTTATTGAGAATATGTACACTACATAAATACAAGGACAAAGCACAGGAACAGAGAACAAATAATTCTAAAGATAAGTGTGTTTTAATTGATCATGTATGCATTAAGACTGTCAAAGAAAAAAAAATTCAGCTATTCCACCATTAAAGTCTTGGGGCACATTTTCAGGTGAGGTGAACTCAGAGCTGCATAGAAAAAAATCCAGAAAAGTTACTAGATTATATTGTCACGATAAAGCAGAGAATTATAATTAATAACAGGTAATATTTTCCCATACCCTGTTCTTATTTTCTTTTATGATGAAAAAGGAATTTATTTACCCTGTATACATGAAGATTTGTGTGACTGCAAAGGACACGAATGTGAAGGACCTCACAACAAAGCAAAGATGATGGCATCCTCCATGTCAACCATTGTCAGTAGTCAGAATATCAAACAAACATGATCTTCAAAGCAAATCTTCTGCTGCATCAACAGCAATATAATACAGTTTCAAAAACTTATTAAAATTGCCAAGATGACAGAACATTTTGAACTAGGGATTTGGCCCCAGTCACCTTCCAACTAATTTGTAATGGCAAAGGAATGAAAACAAAGTATCAGTATGAAGATTTCTCTTTAGCATCCTGAGTATTTGTTGCACAACAACATACTGATTACCTGCACGGTAAAGACTTCTTAAGTCCGTGGTGTCCCTGTGTCAAATTAGAACTGGGAAGGAGGTGGCAAGATGTGGGACATATTTTTTGCTAATACACAGCATTTGAGTTTCATTTGATGTTATATCCTGTATAACTTGTGTTGTTTGTGTAAGCTGGAGCATGATATTTCTGAAGAAATTACTACAGCTTCAAAGAAATGAGATTTTAGAATTGTACGTGTATGATTTTATATAGAAGTAAAAATATGTAATTTTTATACTCAATTTTTTTTTATTTGTGCAAAAGCATACTTTGATATGCAAGCTTAAAAAGCAGCTTATTCAAAAACCACTTGACTAGTACTTTCATTCATCTACCTAACAAGTGATAAATAAAATACTTACATTTTCAGAATGTTTAAAGTTAGCTTAAACAATATGCAAAAAGTAAAATACTGAATAAAGATAATACCTTAAAATTAGGTGCACTTTCAGGCAGCACAATGAATATTCACAGACTTGAGAGCATTTCCTGGGACAGCTTTTAGCCCCTGAACAGTGGCATATTTTTCACATTTTTATGACGACAAGCATTTTGCCATTGAAATTTTATTGCTTCACTTGTGAGCTGTAAAGATTCATAGCTGGTCTCAGAAGTATGACTAGTATGCAGGCATTTTTCTCAAAGTCACTGAGGATTGTGTATTAGAAAAACATTTGCAATGACCATTTTTGTGATTTTAGTCTTTGCTAAAACAATGAATAGAGTTTGTCTGCATTACTAGTTCTTTGGTTGCACTAAAATTAGGATCCTTTAAACTCTATTCACCTGAGATGCAGTAAAAGAGACATATAATAATTAAACAAAACACTCAAATTGTTCAAAGAGTTTGGCCCTTTACTTTGTACCTGCCATTTGTTTAAGAGGTACTTTCAGTACCAGTACTATGATTTCCATGGAGATCATTAATAACACTACACTTCAAAATACTAGCCACTCCTATACACTGTAGCATTCCAAGAAATTTCTCTTAATCCAGAATGACAGAAACCCTGGTGCAGCTGCTTTTCAACCTCAAAGAAGTTTTAGGTCACAACAGGATAACTGGAGTGATGTGGGGACTTCTTCCCATGACAGTGCATGGGAGCTAGGTTCACCACATCCCTCACCATCCCATGAAGTTTAAAAATCCTTTCTCCCATCCCTAATGGGAGTTTCTTACCTGGCAAACGATACTCTGGAGATGACCTTGGGTCAGCTGTACCAACTTCTCTTGGGGTGCTGTGAATTAAAAATAAGAGACTAGGGTCATAAATACATCATTCAATAAGGAGACAAGCTCTGCAGCCTTTGTCTTATTAGCCTTCTGGAGCTATCAAGCTGCTGCAAGGCAAAATTCTGAATATAAATTAATGCTGCAAGTGATTGTCCCAGATTAATTATGGTTTCTATTCAACTTTCATTTACCTCCTCCCCAAATTGACAAGAACAAAAGACAAAATCTAAATATGAGGGAAAATGAAGATGATACAGCTTGGGATTTAAATAGTTGAAGATACTGTCTCTGATTATAAGATTTGCAGAGTAGATCAGCCTGCTCATAGTTTCCACAACACCAGAGCTCTATTGCTACAGCACCTGCATCATGCATGATAACAGCACTGCAGGGAAATCCCCCCTGGTAATGCAGTCACTGTTAGCTTCAGGTACTATAGATAATATTTAAATATTAAAGATTTGCTAGCTGCTCTGAGCAACTGGTGGTGAAAGAATAACTTCTTTTTGTCTCAAATTGATGATGTGATTCTTATAGAGGAGTGATATTTTATACTGTCGTTATTTTTATTGCCAATTTTTTCCTAATAAATGACCAAGAATAAGAACAAAGCCAAGAGCCAAATTTCACATGCTAAGGGTGAGGAAAAACTCAGTAAAATTTTATTTTCCTCATCATTGCTTCTTTTGTATCCAAATAATCAATTTTTGAGACAGATTCTAATCTCAGGCACAGTATGGGCATCCCGTGGTACTCGAGTAAAATCTGTTACTGTGCATCATGCATGATATTAGAGTCTGGCCCTTCTATTGTAGATGGAACATTTGCATCAAGTTCCTTTCATGGCTTTTGATAATAACTATACTTTCTAATATTTGCAGCTATACACACTTTTTGCCTAAATTGCCTTTCATTCCACAGATGGCAATTATGAAAAGCCCTAACATATTGAACTTACAAAAATAAATTTGTCTAAGGTTACATACAAATGCACCACAAAACACGGCACTGTCACAGTCTGAAGTCTGAAGACTTGGGATCTGCCTTCCTTGCCACCCCTGCAATGAAGAGAACCAGTGATATCAGAATGTAGATCAGACCAAAGAGTTGTGGAACCATTACACTTTTCCTTGACTCTACTTGGCCTGCTGTGAGGCCAGCTCTTGACTTGCACAGAGCAGAGCCATCAGGATGGGGCCAGTAGGTAAACACAACCACAGCGTCTGCTCTTGACCAGTGCTGTTTCTTTAAATATCTTCGAAGAAATTTTTAGTATCTTCACAAAGACATAATCCATTGTTTGCCAAAGTCTTCTCTTAAAGACGTAAATTAACTCAATTTGTCTCAAATACCAATTGCTTTGTTTTCAAAGGGCTGCTCAATCTAACTTTTGTGTGTATGTTGGCTTTTATTAAATCCAGAGGTGAAGCAATCACATCTTCTTATTTTAAATCACCAATACTTCCCTTAGTATTTTACATTAATCTAGCCCTCCAGTCAAAACAATACTTTGCTCATAGCTAAGGAATCTCTAGAAATACAGCATTTCCTTTTTTAATTTCCATGCATTTAAGATAAATGTAACTTTCTGTTTTATTTAATGGTCATTCAATATCAAAATGTTAAGTGCTGGGTAAATGTAGGTTGTTTTGTCTCACTTTGACATTCACAGCACTTTCATTTTGACTTTTCCCTGTGCTATGGACTAGAACATCATCTTACACTGGCTTTAAGATTTACACCCATATTTATGTAATGATTTCTAGTGCTTCAGATCTAGCTCAAGGATCTATTTCATCTTTAACTTTTAATTCTGCTTTTGGCTGTTTCTCTGAGGAGTCGGTTTTGCCTTCTTGGTTTACTTATGAGTGTTCATTATTTTCTTTTATTTATTTGTTGCATTTTCCCCAAAATTACTCTGAAAGCTAAAATACGTATTATTATTACAAGGGTATTAGTAATATGGCGCTTGTATTCCTGCCTTTCAATGCAGTAATACTTATTTGAGAAAAATATACATGGAAAAAGCTGGCTCCAAAACCTGCACTGGTATAAATCTGCAGAACTTGCTTGCAAACAGCAGCACTCTGCCAGTCTCTATTAAATCTACAGCAGGTCATGATTTGGCCTAAAGGTATTAAACCTTCTACTTGCCTTTGGCATACAGCTCATTAAAAAAGGTGAAGTCTTTTCTAGACACTTTATTCCCTCAAATAACCACCACAAAATTGCAATTTCCTTGTTTGTTTCTGGCTACTGCTCTAATGATTCTTTTCTTTTCTAGCAGCATTAAGAATGCCTTATTTGCCCTCTCCTGGCCACTGGTAAAGGCACTCACTACTGAGCTTGTTGTCCTGCAGTACTTCTGTCCTACTTATTGAACATCCCCTTGCACATTTAAACCATCTCTACACCCACTGGAGGCTACCAGCTTCTGATATTCTACTGCTGTTCTCATCAGGTACAAGAGTCTTCAAATCTCTAAGCCAACTACATTTGATTTGTTTCAATAAGTCAGGACAATACTTGGTCTAATTTACATCAATGAAATCCTACACTTCCTTAAGCGCACAGTACACAAAACAGCAATTTGCTATTTGTTCACCATCAGCCTTTCAACTTCTTTCCACACATCACAATAACTTTAGTGCTACTGAAACACTAACAGCTTTGTTTGCCATCCTGTCCTCTCAAGCTGTTCAACATTAAAGCTATCTCAACAGCTGCTTTGATTCCTGTACATCTAAGCCACTTCACTCTCAACTCTTTGTTAAGATAAAAATAATTAAGAGTAGTTTGATTTTCAAGTAAACATAAAATTCAACACTACAAACTTGAACTGAAAGAGCCATCAGACTATACCTGACCATTTCAAAGAAAACCATCAATACATGGAAGAAGTTCCAATAAGGCAGGCAGTTCCTATTTTGCAAATGAGTATCAAAATATATTTGTATCAGCATGAGTTAACCATAAGATAGTGCTCATAGTTTGAATGGCATTTATTCTACTAGCTAAGTTTTCCATGCATCCAGGAGGCAGTTCTCAGTTTGCATAACCTGCGGAGAATTTAAAGCAACGGCCTCTGAAGACATGTCTATGAATGGTGGCAGTAGCCCAAGGCTGTACAGAGAAAGGTGCACATTATAACATTATCAAGAAGAACATCTCAAAAGAGACTGTAAACACTCGAGGGTAAGGGCCATATTTTACTCTGTTCCTAAGTGAAGGGTGAGAAACAACAGAGTTTTGGTAGTGCCTAGACTCTCTGGGTGTGTAGGGCAAATAACATTGTTAGATGTTGTTATAACACTGTTTCAAACAAATGTCTTCACGAAGCGTGAAGATCTCCTGTCTAGATTAAAACTGTGTGGTTTTCTTTTTCTTTTTCGTTTTTTTTTTTTCCTATCTGGATAAAAAACCAATTCAACTAGTAATGAAGATTACAGAACAGAGAAAAAGTGAAAAAAGCAAAAAGGCAAAGAGGGGTAGCAGATTTAAACTCCCTGCTGAGTCCAGAGAATAATAAAAAAAAATAAATGCTTCCTAGACATATTGGTAGTATCAGAAGCACAGGAAAATCAGATGCTGATGCCCATGTTTGAGCTGATTACTACCCACATATTTAAACCAAGATCACACTGCCCTCTGGAACATCCAGCCTTCCTGTAGCCACCCAAAAGAAGATTCTTCAGTACAAATTCCTGCCAGTTACAAGGCCTCAAGCCATTTATTCAATAGTTTGTATCTCAATCAGATATTTATAAGTGAGATTACATTAATATTAATTTACTTAATGACTAATGAAATAAATGAATTTTTTGTTACATGACCTTCTGTTTTTTCAGCAATACCGTTAGTGATTACACTTGCACAACTTCCTTTATCAGCACATTAGCAAGGGGCTGATTGGTAGGATGCTGTCTGAAATTAATCATACCACGGGCAGTTCTAGTAAGATTCCTCACCAGGTTTTTACATCTGCAGTAGTTCCTAGTATGATTCTGTCAACTCACATTTATGAGCTCGACTCCACAGTACAGACACTACCCTAATTCTTCCATAAGAACGTGGGCTGCATATGCAGCTTGCTGCTTAATCTGAAAGTGAACTGGATAGTTTTACTGCACAACATAGTTCAAACAAGGTCAAGGTGTCAGCTTTCTATAGGATGCTGTGGTGAAATGGACTGTAAAATGCTCCTGCCATGTCAGAGAGAGAAGAAAAGAATAGTCTAATAACCACACTCAACAGAAGGTAGAACCAGAATTTTAAACACGACAATGATTTCATCTCTCCCTTGAAATTCAGCATAACTGTTACTTAACACATGAGAAAGATCAATTACTAAAGCTTCTTTCCCTGTCCTCTACAGAGTAAATAGTTTCAGGGTCTCTTCCTTATGTCTCAATATTATTTCTGGCTACTCAATGTCCAAATGTGAAGATATGTACAAAAAAATCCACTCATCATCTCAATAGCTGCACTATGAACCACCTGTCCATATTAAGCCATCTCTTTGCAAATTCTTGCCTCAATAGCAATAGATTAACACTAAGGAATTGAAGCCACAGTTGGCTGAAGTAGTTCAATTAGTACTGGAAGCAGCAGCCCATCTGCTAACTACCAGTGGCTATGGAAACGCATCATTTTTGCATACCTCACAGCCTTCAACTGAAATCAGTACTTCTGTACTAATACTAGTGGAGCACTGCAAACCGCTGAGTGTGAGAAAAGAGTGTAAGCAATGGCAACAAGCTCACTGCAGTATTCCCACAAAAATAAAACATGTTTCTGTGAAGGGCATTGTTTACGTTCCCATTACAGACAAGTAGGTTAGCTAGAACACCCCATTCCACACAGAGATGGAAGAACTTGAGTGTGGACATCAATTGCTTAGTCATGTGCAAACTGCCACGCACAGGTCATCCAGCTTTCCATAACTGCAATACACGTTAGATTTAAGACAGAAAGGAGTGTAGATGTTCTAAACAGAAATCTGCAAATTTCAGGTCTACAATGGAACCTGACCTGGTTTCCTGCCACTGAAATTTTAAAAAAGTGAATAACCATACGCCTTACTAGAAATAAACCAACATTAAAATAAGCATATGACAATAAAAGAGTCAGAACAACTTAGAGAAGCACCACTTTCTCTTGCCATCTACTCTGCCAACTATTCTGGCTACATGCAAGGCTGCAGCACACACACGATTCATATTTCATGCTGTATGCACTGGTATAGTTGGTTTTTTTTTTCAAGTTATTGCTGTAACATATTAATTTTTTACTAATGACGTGATACTACTGGCCTTCATTAAAGCAAAGGTCTATTCAAAACAGCACGTTATCTCTGATAGTGACTATCTTAATATAAAAAACACAGCAAGCCTTCTTTCTAAGTCCTCTAGCAAATCTTTCAAACTACCTGAACCAGATGCTTAAGATTTAAATTTTACAGACTCTTCTAAAACTTCCATTGATTGACCCACCTTTATAATACTGAGTTGAAACCAGTCACTTTTCTTGGTATTTACAATCTTTTGCAGTAGCATTCCACAGTTTATGGAAGTCAGGAAAAAAGAATTTTTATTTCTAGTTCTAAATCTGTTTCCAAATATTCTCCCCTTCTGGGAGAAACATTTACTAATCCCTTCCTATTCCACTGCATATTTCCTACTCGTTATTTTGCAGACTCCCTTCTTTGCATCCTTTCAGTTATCTCTTCTCCAGCACAAAGACTTCTTGTTTCCTTTATCGCTCCTTGGACCAAATAGTTTGAAAAACATGATAAGCCTTGTTCATCTCCTCATGTACTTATTCCAGTTCTGTTTTTCAGCATGAGTGACAGTAGAATTCCATCAAACAATTAAGATGTAGATGCTAAATAAACTGATACATTATCAGAATTATCTGAAATAGTTTAGTAGTGAAAACAACTTGTTCTACATCCTTCATGTTACATGTACAGATCTGGACTGGTTTCTCGATCAACATTGGGTTTCATTTATTACTTGATAACCTAATAATTTGATATTATGAGAGCTGTTTCTCCACTGTC